CAGGTTTGTTCATCAGAGTATCACTCTGAGGAGAGATGGAGCAGTACAGCATACTACTACTTCTTTCCTTTTTTTTTTTCTTTTTTTTTTTTTTAAATGCTTTTAAGTGCCTTTTAGAATTAACTCTTATGTCTGAAAACTTAAAACACCTATTTGTTTTAAGGCTGCCCTTGATGGTATGGTGTATTGTAACACTTGGCTACGTTACTGTACCAGTTCATACCTTATTTACCAGAGCAGGTTAATGTGTTATAAATTCAGGAGGTTGAGCCAGTGTATTGGATCGGCTTTTGTCATCGCCACAGTCTCAGCAACGAAGGGGTGTCTGTCCAGGTCACAGCATCCCCTCTGCGATAAGCCATCAAGATGGCAAAACTCTGGAAAAATAACAGCACTCGTTACAGTTTTCTGAGGACTGTGAAGTTATTCAGTGTATTTTTTTTAATGCTTTCCATTAAGCCCAAGTTAATTCAGATGTGTTTTGCTTAAGCGCGTAGTTTCCTGAAGCCAGAGGCTGGCCGTTGTCGTGAGAGCTCTGCGGCTGCCGAGCACTTACAAAGCTGGAACGTCCTCGCGGTCTGCATTGGCTCTGTGATCTCTCAACAGCAATGAGAATATTTAATTTTGACTAATTGCCTGCTGCCCATGTGATCATGGAGTATAAAATATTATGGTGGTATTGGCAAATGCTATTATTAGACATTTAGTTGCTTTCTGTTCCGCCTGATGATCCTCCACTAGAGGAGTATCAGGGAAGCGGTCACGATCCAGCTTGTGCACACTTCTTATGTAGCGTCTCCTCCTGCCACTGTTGGTCTGGCACATGGGGTTGCCCTGAGGTTTGTGTTGAGTTGGGAGCTGAATCAAGTAAACGTAAGGCTTTGTGAATGAAAGGAAGTGCCTAGTTAAGGGCAAAATGTTTGTCAATTGCTGGAACAACCAAAGCTTCTGTAAAGTCAAGAACATTGGTGTTGATTCACATCCCTTTTTTAACTGATGGGGGTCTTCTGCTAGCTGTTGTAGCTGGGAAAGGCACATCCCACCCGTTTGTCACTGGCTAGTTGGATGCTTGCTCTACCGGCCGTTGGTACCAAAGCGTGTCCCGTCCTCCTAGCCAGCAACAGAAATGTCAGAAAACCCACTTTCTTTAAAGGAGAAAAAAAAGCTCTGAAAGTGAAATCAAGAGGAAACAACGTTTGCACCCTGACTAGAGCAGAGTCAGGAGTAAACTGTTTGTACACCTGACTGATGCTGTCTAGCACGTGTGGGCGGCTTTTCTTGCTGCGTGTGTGATTATGATTTAAGGCTGATCAGTGAACGAGATGGAAATTTCTCTTTAACAGAAGCACTTCATTATGGGTTTATTTTGTGAAATTAATGAAATTCTGCACTTTGCTTAATGTACAAAGCAGAAAATCTGCTACTGGCTTTGCTTTTGCAGTTTCTCAGTCATGTTTACATAATTAGTAAATGTTGTGAGCAGGCTCGGTGATTTAGCAGAATTTAAAGGTTACCATTCCTGGCAATTTTAAACAAAAGCAGTAATACCTGCTATGCTGTTCATGCTCTAATAGAGAGATTTTTCATCTTTCTCTTAGGAAAATCTTAACTTTTTTTCCTTCCCTTTTTTTAATATTAGGACCGACGTTGTAATTATATAATGATAAATCTTTAAAAATGGCTGATTTTGCAGTTCCGTGCAGTTAATGTGTCGGAGTCCTGGGACCAGATTGAATCCTGCAAAGCATAGCAAACAGATGAAATGTATTGTTTTGGATAATGTACTGCTCTCCTGGGTTTTTTTCCAAGTGAATTCGATTGAATGAATTAAATTAACTTTTTTACACTTAATGATAACTAAAGAAAAAAATGAGTTCATAATTAGTTTTGGCATATTATACACAAAGTATAAAATGCTGATGGTATTTAACTCACTGGTTTTTGACATTAGTAACCTATCAAAATACCTCTGAATATTTTTACAAATTTTGAAACTTTCTAGCAATTAGTTTGGAGTGGAATTGGTCCAGTTTGCTTTGCACACTTGTGGCTGTGCCTCATGTGCAGGCTGCACAGTGACTGCCCGCCGCTGCCGGCACATCAAGGCACGGCTGCTCCTGTTGTTGCTCGGGAACTGGGTGTACTGGTTTGCGTGCTGCACAGAGTGACAGAGAGACAAGAACAGTTCTTGGGTACCGGGACAAAACCTCCCAGCAAACCTCAGTGGCTCTTGAGGATGGAAGGGACTTTCTGGGTTTTTTGGCAGTGTCAGGTACCTCCAGGTTCCTCTGCCAAAAGTGTTGTGTAGACAATTGTCGTTCAGAGGCACCAAATGCATGTCCAGACATCTGTTGTTCTCTGTAAGAGCGGGCTCTGAATCCTTTGTCTATCACATACTTAACACAGTTAAGAAAAAAGAGTATCATCATAGATTGCTCTAGGAAAATAAGGTGGAATATAATTTAGTCCAATTGATTAACCTCATGTGTTTTTTCCTAACCTGCATCATCTGTTGGGGCTCATCCTTTTTAATGGTACATGGTTACTCTGAAGTGCAGTATCAAAAGAGAATGTGAAATTAGGTGTAGGGGGAATAAAAAAATCAGAGTTAGCAGTTATGCAAGCCCTTCTTCAAATGTGAGAGAATCATCAGAGTGCATCAATCTAATTATTATTTAGCTGTTTATCTACAGGGACACCAACCTTAATGGTAGATACCACTGCATCATGTATTTGGGTCTCTGGCTTGCCCAGCACTGAGTAAAATACTCACTGGTGTGTTACATGAGTTGTACTTTGTACCACATTTTACAAGGAAAATGTTAAAACAAAGTCAATTTACAAAGTCAATTTCAGTGTCTCTCTGCCAGGGACTGGCATATATAAACACAAATGAATTGGTTCACCTGTCGAATTAATGGAAACTGAGGATATTACATTTTTTAAGTGATTGAAATCCTGTCATCTTGGTCTTATGCTCGCTACTTCCAAGGGTGGCTGTTTCATTTTGAATAGAAAAATCAGGGGATTTAGGTGAGAAAGAAAAACTAGATATGAAGGAAAAATTAGTGCCAATAAAAGCGAAGATTTTATGCAGGGGTAGTACTTAAGAAAAAGGAGTAAGAGTGAAACCAAGTTGTTTTCTGCAAAAGCAGTGATCTTTGGGAGGAAGAAAGTGTGCCTGAGAGGAGAGTAGTATGTTGCATTAGGGGAGAAATAATAATTTAATAAATAAATAAATAAATAAATAAAAATTTGTGTTCATTCGTTTGGAATTGGTGTCTATACCCAGTGCACAGAGCTGGCTGTGGATCCTGAGGAGAGGAGCAAAGTGCTGGTGAGGTGCTGGGCTTTGCAGGCCTGCCCCGCGCTCACCTCGAGTCAGCTGCCATCCCACGGGTAAAGTGCTCTCGGAGTTACGTAAAACTCATCTTCACACAAGCTTTGAGTTGCCCGAGCAGCCGGGAGGGAGCCTCGGGCTCGTGATGGGGGTGCAGCATCCACGGCACCGACCCACAGCGGGGCTGCCGGCGCGCGGTGCCCCTGTTCGCTTCCCCATCTCTCACCTTGGAGGCATTCCTGAGATGTGGGGTCTTCCCAATCATGTGATTCACATTAATACCTTCCGGGCTTAATTAGCTGCTGAGTCACTGCAAATCCGTGTCTTTGTTGTTGAATTATTTCTAAGTCGCTTGGTTTCCAAATTGCTTTCCTCCAAAATGAGGTCATCCTACAAATCTGTAGTGTCAGTCGTGATTAAGGGACCCAGCCTCAGCACACGGGTGAAATAACAGCAGAAAAGCTGACTTTTTCGTTGGGTTCACAGAAGTTGGAATTGATAAAGGTTGGAAATAATGGCAAGAGCTTAGTTTTAACTTCAACATGTGGCAGTAGCTCTAGCAGGAGAGTTTGCCAGACAGTGCTGCTGAGGGGGATAGTAAAAATACAGATCTTCCTGCTTTCTGAAGGGTTCTTGACTGCAATACATGTAAAGCAGGAGTGATGCAGAAAGATGCAGTGTTTTCTGGAAAAACATACAGGCAAATCAGATCATTGCACTACAGTTCAACATGGAATATGGTGATTTTCTATCATTGGTGGCATCTTTGCCTTGCAAAGACAGTTTTGTGGGATGGGTTTGTTCCTTGCCTTCAAGCATTGAAGCTATTTTAGTCCAGATGAATGACTCCCAAAACTTAACATCTTGCCGAGCAGGGGGAGAGATGCTGAATTGGAAAGGATTGTTATGCCCTTGGTGGGTGTCTTTCTTATAAAGTTATCTGATGTAAATATTACGCTCTCTGCATAAATTCAGTATAGATAATTGACTGCGTCTTGTTTGGAAATGGGTACCAAAGGTTTTTTTACAGCTTCTGTGTAATTGAAATTCCAGGAGGAGAGGCCTTTGTCTTGGTAACCACATTTGAATTACTTTTTTATTGTAGCGTTAAACCAATACGCTATGATGTTAGGAGTTCAGCGTGCATATGTGTCAATAATTACAGTATTTCCACAGTTACAATGAATAAAGCAAACTCTTGAGAAAGAGCATGTAATACCCTGAAAACAGATGATGTCAAAGTGGTACTGGCAGCCATTTATGTTCCTCCCTGAGCAGCAGGCTCCCTCGCGAAGGAAACCTGCCGTGCCACGGCAGGACTGTCTGCTTCGTGCACCGTGGCGCGGGTGCTTGGGCCCTGCTGCCTTTTATCCTGAGCTCAGACAGCCCGTTTTGTCCACCAGTACAGAAAGGGAAAGGCCTGTAGAAGCCATTCTGCAGGGAGGTTAAAAAAAAAAATAAATAAATCAGAAACAACCCCAAAACACAAAACTCCCAGATAGAGGCGAGCTGCTCTGGGCAGGGCGGTGGTGGCGGCGGGGGGGCCCGCTGCCGCAGGCTCCGCGCCCGGCACGGCCTGGTGCTGGGTGTGAATCGTGAGAGCTTTGGTGGGATTCCGTGGGAGGTACTAGCTTTACTCACTGAAGCTCCTTTGTTTTGCAGAGATCTTGATGCAGACGCCCTTTTGGATTTCTTTTTAATAATGTGTGACCCTTCACCTTTGATCCCTTGACCTGCATTACTTTGGTAACCATTTCATTTTTTAAATTTCATTTCATTTTTAATTTTGGTGTGCAAGCTGTAACATTTCATCAGTTTAAACTGTAGCGTTCTTTGACCTCCCCAAATGTCTTTTTTTGTTTGTTTGTTTTTTTTTTTTTATCCTATGGATATATGTAATGTTGACTTTTCTTGAATAAAAGTTATTTCAGTTGTTAAAAAAAAATAAAGTATGTAATTTTCATTGGTTTTTGCTTCTTTTAAGTTTGTGTGTATGTTTCTTGTATAATACATTACTCTTTTTGACCTATGTTCTCACCATATTTCATCTAACTTATTTTGATATTTCTATACATCTTTGATTTAATTTGCATTTTTCTACAGTCCTTTTGGTCAGTAAAATATATGCTGGTCACCCCATGCCCCTCCCTCCATCCCTCCCAGTTACATTTTGATAGCTCAAAGTAATCGTGGGAGCATTTAAGGTACTCTTATGAATAAGAAATATTCTTTATTGTTAAAATTTTGTTCCCTGTCCTGAAGATAAGTTTTCCTAACCATCAGCTTAAAACTGATAGCTATTTTAATAAAAGATTAGGCTTTAGACCAAAATGAAAATCTCAGCTGAAACTCAAATTACATTTATTTTTACATTATCATTGAAGCCAAAAGGGAAGTTACCAATGCTTTGAGATGTGCTTTAAGCACGGGATGTGCTTAAAGAAGCAGTGTTGTGTGTATGTGGGATAGTAATTTCCCCTAAGTTTAGTAACTGTCTCTTTCCATTTTTCTATGAAAGGATACCAGTGTATAAGACAGATTTTGTCCGGATTCTATTTTTATCTTGTAAATGATCATACCAACTGAGCATGGCCCACTGAAGTACAGATTATTTTTTAAGTGTCTCATTATTTTAGTCTCTAACATTAAATGCTGAAGTTTTAATTGCACACAGATGAAGCTGCTAAATGAGCACTGAAATGAATTTAGGTCTTCTCTGAGCCTTGTTGATGCTTATAAAACTTTATATTGTTCATTAGAACTACAGATTAAAATTGTGGTGAGCTTTTCCCACATTACGGGCCGGCTCAGCCAGCCTCACCTGGCCGCTGCCTGTGTCTGGCCCCTTTCGGAGGAGCCTGAAGCCCCCCCCGAAAACCCTCCTGCTGCCTGTTCCCGAGTGAAACAGCGGCCGCGGTGGACGGGGCTGCGGTGCTCGCCGGGGGGGGGGGGGAGGGGGGCTGCTGCCCTCACCCCCGGGGGCCTCCGCAAGGCCCGGTGAGCCCCTGCGGGTCTGACCCCCGAGCAGTGGGGCTGCAGCCTCATCGCCAGACTCTGGTTCAGGAAGCATCTCCTACTTTGATTAGCGCCCATGCTCGAGAAAATGGTATTTCCAGCACTAATCTTTGTGCTTAAATAACAAGACCTCTGTTTGGAAACTGCCCTTGTCTCTGTAGAGTCACCTGTTAAAAAAACTGGCAGTCAAAAACAGCATTCACAAAATTCTGCTGACCAGTCTCTCCTGTGTGTTGATGTACGTGTTTCTCTTTGACCCAGTGGTTAGGAGCCAAGACAGACAATCACAGCCTACATCACTGTTTGAAGCATTCAGGTGTTTTTTTCCTCTTCCCCTCCTGTTCCAAATTTTAGCTGTAATAGTTTTTGTAGACCTGGAGTCATCAATTCTGGTATACAAGGCTGCCACTCCTACATCAAGTGTGTTTTGGATTGCTGGGATTTGGCTTTCACTCTGGTTTTAATGCTGCCTGTCAGCCTGAGAAGTATGATGCTCCAAAATCATCTTGAGCTGTTTCTACATTCTTCAGAAGAGCGGTTTTAAAACTCGGTGGAAAAAAATACTTATTTTGCCCAGGAAAATTCCTTGAAGACTATTTTTCTCTTCCTTGTAGCACATATTTATATCAGCAGCAGTTAGACATGAATGCCTTGACTTTCTAGGAAAGCAGTTTTTAAAAACCTTTATTTAGACATCTGGAAGCCAAAGGGAATCTCCTTCCTCTGTGCAGAGGGCTGGCTTTCAGCTGCCTCCTGGTAGAACAAAGAGCAAGGAAAAAAAAAGTGATGGAATAAAAATGTCTGGTGTTGAGAATTGGAGGGAGTCAATAATATAAAAACACATGAGGTTAAAAGATGGCTAGAATTTCTTGTTTCAGGAGATACTTTGTCATGTCCAGCCTGCCTTCTTTTCGTAAGGTAAGCGCTATTTAGTGGTGAAAATAATTGGCTTTATCTCACAAGATGTTCGGATGACACAGGATGATGCATGCAATCTTTTTCATGATCTTTCCAAGTATTCTGTTAGATGCAGATGGTTATTCACAGAAATCACTGTAATGAATATGGATTATGCCTGTGTAGCTATTGCATGGGCTTCCAGGGTACTAGAGCTGCTGAGAAAGGAGGAGGTAGAGGCTTTGGAAAGGGAGGACAGGAATTGTTCTCAGTTTTCTGTATAAACAACAGTAAATACTAGTAAGAAAAGCTGCTTCATTAACACGGCAATAGCATTAGCATTTACCCAGGCTTAAAGTCTGGTTTTGGCTGCAGTGTTACAGGATGACACTAGGTAATACCAGCAACAATTGTCCATTTTATGGCAAGAGATGATGGAACTTAATTAATTTCACTGAACTTGAGTTTTACTGAACAGGAACTATAATACATGTTTTCTTCAAATGCTTAATCAAAGAACTATATAGATGCTACATAATGTTGGCAAATCAAAACATTTGTCAATTTAAATATTAAGAGAATACTCTATTGAGAGATTTGTTCCTGCTTATGAGGTTTTTGTGTAATACAAAGCCAGAATATTGTTAACATCCACTCCTGAAACAAGCCTTAATTTTGAAATTTATGCAATATCTTCTACTGCTGGATACTTTTATATGCTAACCTTAAGATAAGGCTAAATTGCTGAAATGAAATACTTGGCACATTTACTAGATTTAGAACATTGCATGTTTTGCAGTTCAGGTAATGCATCTGGGGTCAGATTAACCCAATCTGCTTTATTCAGCCTAATAGACACACTTGTGTATCAATCATCTGCATGTGCTGTTCATTTAATAAAATATACATAGGCAACAGACAAATTGCTCACTTTGGTCTGGACTACTCTGAAAAACAGATGTATCAGTCAACACAAGCAAACATTGGTTTTTTTTTTTTTATATTAATAATAAAACTCATCCAAACATGCAAGATAAAAAAAGTGTACAGATTTCACCCCCCCCCCCAAAGTCTGTAGCTGAGAAAACACACAGATTACTGTACAGAATCTGTCTGTACGCAGTAAACGTAACAAATGGGCAGCCAACCCCTCTTAATGTGTTTTAGGGCTGGCGGCTTCCAGGCGAGACTCCTCTTTCTCTCGTGCTTGGAGGGAAGGGGAATTGCTGCTTCCCGGAGGAGAGCCCGAGTGCTGCTCTGGCCTCGGGGGAGGACTGGTGCCCTGGCAGCCAGCGCCTTGGGGAGTTTCTCCTCTGGGACTGGGCTTCTCACCCCACTTGCTGCTCTGCGTGTATATTGTTTTGCGAAGTCCTTAAATAATTTAATTACTGCTATTGCTTTAATCTTTAAGTTCTCAAAATTCATTAAGGTCTTTGGTCGCTGAAGGGGTAAGCCGGTGCCATTGGGCAGCCTTCCCCAACTCAGTCTCGTGCTTTTGCTTTTACTCTGCTTACAGAAGTAGAACTTTAGCAGTCAAAACCCTGCATTTGGCTTGCTGTATGTGCTAGGGTCCTCTGTCTTTCCTCCACTCTTAGCTGCAGACCTCTGGTGAGAAAATGTTCAGTGATAAAAATGTGTTTCTATTTCTCCTTCAGGTTTGACTTGTCTGCTTTTCAGCTCTTCTAGACATTGGAAATTCCAGTTTGTGTTTGTTTTCTCTGGATTTCTTCCCACAAGACAGAAGTGAATTCAGCATGGATTATGGGGCAGAGCCTTGGCTGGGAATAAGGATAATTGCAGTCTCTGGCTGTGCCACAGATTTACTGATGATTTCTTTTAAGTTATTCACCTGCACTGTATCTGTTTCCTCAGCTGTAAAATATGGGTAATTACCTCCATTGTAAAATGTTATGGGGTCTGCTGGTAATTATATGAATGAAGTGCTAATTACAGTGATTATTACTTGGACCTTGTCTAGATCTGGGTGATGTTCCTGTTGTGATGAATGTATGAAACGAATACTACAACTTGCCTTTCTCCATTCTTTGCGAGGGACCTGGAAGGGGAAGGTGCCACAGCACTCACATGTAAATTCCTGATGAGAAGCGCTGCTACATTTTCAGCCAAGGCAATCTGTTAACTTCCCGTCTCCTTGATCCTCATGCGTTAGAAGGGCAGTAGGCTGATGAGAGGCTGAGAAGTAACTCATTCGGTAGCTGGATCCACATGTAAGTTGATAACAGGGGTTTATGCTTTGGCATTTGCTTTTCCTCTTGGAGATGCGTAGAAGCAAGCAGGTTGGGCACGGTACTCTTTGGGCTACCGGTTGAGTTGGGGCCAATCTGCCTGCTGCCTTGTGGCTGCCGTTCTTTGGGAGATCCGACCTTGATGCGAGGAAAGGTGTCCTTCCAGCTCTTGAGATTATTTCTCTCCTGTCAAAGACTACAGCTTGCAAGACTTTATTGTCAAACATTTTATTTGCCTTTCTGTTCTCTGTTTTTTTAGGAGAGGTTTTCTTTGTAGCTGGGAATAGCTCTACTATCCACTAACTAAGGCTGGATAGTGGAGGAAGAATGGATATTCTCTAAGGTAGAAGTGGAGTGTCCTCATCCAGAAAATAGTGCTGCAGCTGTCCAGATGAAGCTGTAGTTTCTGACAGTAGTAATAATGAGTGATGTCTTACATCCGTTAACGATGAGAGCCTCCTACCCAGTACCAGCCTTCCCTAGACACACATTTCGTGGCACAGTAACAAAAGCAATGTTCTTGGTTCGTCTTGCTGCAGTTCTGCCTGCTGTGTTCTGCCACGTCTGCTTGCCCTGCCTTTCTGGGTTCTGCTGGATGGATTTCAGCCCTCGCCTCCACACACGCGCTTGCCATCAACTTCAGCCTTTCTTTGTCCTGGAAGAGCAGCCATAGATCTTAGCGACGTCTGCAGAATTTGGTAGCAAGGTAGAGGTGGTATGCTGACCAGCTCTTCCTTTCTCATTGTTTCATGACTGCAGTAAACTTCTGCGTTTCAAGAGGAGGGTTTAGTTATTGCCCAGTATGATAATATGAAAAGGCTTTCCAGTAATGGAAAGGCAATTTTTAATTGCAGCTTTGCACTTGAATTTGCCAAACTAGATGCTCATCACTGACAGCTTATTTCTGAGTGAATCTACATGTTTAAATCAGTCTGGAGTATATCACATCCTCGCAGTATTTCAGTTGTTGGCAACGCAATGTTCATCTAACACAGGTTACTGGATTGTTGCTCTGTTAGGGCATAACTATGGGAGACAAATGGTTCCAAGTGCAGGTTTTTTCCAGAGCTTCTCGGTTTAAAACTTTAGAAATCATAACTGAAAACCCATGAAATACTTTTATTTCTTGACTGCTCTCTGGCCATGCGTACACCTCCGTTGGCACACACATCTGCCTCGGCGCAATCTGCCTTCCTGTCTGGAAGCGTGTGCGTTGTGCCAGGACCTAAACCGGCAGAGTCTCTGGCGAGGCCGTGCTGGCAGCAGCGTTTCCGTGCGGCACGCGGGAGCCTGCCCAAGCTGTACCCCCCCCAAATTCTGTGCTGCTTCTCCCCTTTGTGCACCCTGCAGCTGCGCGGATGATCTGGCCCCTGCGAGCGGAGCTGCTGGAGCCCTCCGGCCCCCCCGGCCACGCAAACCGGCACCGCCTGCTTTTGGTGTTTTGCTCTTGGGTTCATAAAGGACCCGCTGGTTTTTGTGACAGGATGCTTGTGTGCTCCAGTGACGGGCGGCAATGGGCGATTCCAGACAAGTGAAAACCGTCATTACCAAGTAGTAAGTGTATGGAAAGAACTTCCCTGGTTAGGTGGAGGCAAAAGTAAATGAGGGAAGATTGACCCTCCCACAATCACTCTTGCCTCGCTTTAAAACATCTAAAATACGACGTAGTTGTCTGTATGTATCTGTGCACTTCATCTGATATTCATTTTAGAATTTTTTTTTTTTTTTAAATCCCATTGATTTGGGAAGCAAAAAACTTAGTTCATTCCTACAGAAGCATCATCATTAATATTAATTAATTTGGTGTGAGGTGCTTCGAAAGTGAATAATGCCATATACATGTCCTTACTGCACGTGCACTTATTGCACAAGTGAATTGATCTGTGTGCACTCTGCAAGTTTTGTATGGTCAGGCACATTAAATTACTACGTAAGCTAAAGGATAGTCAATAATTCAGATCCGAGATTTATTTTCTTTTACAGCATTCTTGCAAAAAGTGGGAAGGTGTATGACATCTGTGGGATTTCTGTATCTCAGTACCACTCTGAATGCTGTAAATCAACAGTGTAAGTAACATAAACTTTTTTTTTAAAACTTAAACGTCTGGTAGCATAATAATTATAAACTCTCTCAAGTCTTCCTCCTCTTAGAAATTAGTGAACTCTCTGGTATTCATTGTGGAGACAAAGTGTTGCATAAAACCACTGTAGCGTATGATCAAAATGCTTCCAAGGATCTGAATTAAAATGTAGCATCACCACGAAAACAAAAGTATTAAAGCGTGGTTCTAAAATGATGCACCGCTGAGTGAAGATTTCCCTAGTTTTGAGAGCAGATTTTTAAACGTTAACACACCCCGTTGGGGTAGCAACTGCAAACCCCAGTGGAATAGTCGCGGTGGCATTTCTATTTGTCAGTGGTTACTCCAGGAAAATCTTTAACCGTTATTTTTTTTTTTTTTTCCTAATTACTTGCCATTCCTTGGCTTTGTGAAGCAGTAGGCTGTGGCCAGACGCAGGGTGGTTGCTGGCCGTGCGGGGCTGGCCGTGGGGCCGGTGGCCATGGGGCCGGTGGCCGTGGTGCGTCGGTGCTGGGTGCTGCCCGTCCCCACTGGCCTCGCCGCGGGAGGAGGAAGAGGAGAAGGAGGAGGAGGAGGATTTCCTCCTCGCGCCCCATTTCTAGCTGCCCCCGTCTCTGTATGGACGCGGAATCCCCACAGGAGGGTGCTGTGAAGGCATTTAACGTGCAGATTTTGCAGGGAAGACGGGAGTTTGGAGGAAACGGCGGTTGTAGGGACGGCGGTGCGCGGTGGCTCCGGCAAGGGCAGCGGGCAGAGCACCGGGGCCGCACGCGCTGGCCGCGTCCTGCGGCTCCGCGGGACGGTGACGGTGACGGTGACGGCCGGGAAGCCGCCGCGCGCGGGCACCGCGGGGCCGTGAGGGTGACGGCAAAGTGTCCCGCGGCTGCCACCTCCCGCTTGCCGGGGTGATGGGACCCTTGCCGGGTACTGGCACCCATCGCCAGCGCGTCGCCGGGAGCCACCCAGCTCCCATCCCGTCTGTACGTAGAATATTTAATCTGCAGAAGTTGCAAAATCCTCTTGCCTGCAAGTAGAACCTCTAAGTTCTGTCCTAAAATACTTTGTAAATTAGACTGTTTCATTCAGCATGATCAGAAGGGCTAACGAAAAACAACAGAGAAAGCTCTCTTTAGTTTTAGCTGTAAAACTTTTATTTCAAATATTTTAGATAAAAGAGATTATTCCTCTTGTATAGAGTATACTTGTGCCCAGCTTTATTTGATAAGGCCAGTTAAATAGCCTTTCCCACATGCTGCTTTTTATAGCTGGGGTGCTGCTTCAAAGAGAAATTAAGTATGGTCATTTAAAAGTGAAAAAAAAAAACAACACCCCAGGGGGAGCTGCGGTCTGTCTCATTTGCCTGGTGTTTCCATTCTGCCCCCCACCCTGCTGCCTTCTATTGCATTTCACTTTTTTTAATAAACTTTTTAAACCAAGGATTATAGCTAAAATAGAGACTTCTCTTTGGGGTGACCTCTAAAACACGTGGGGGGATTAAATCTAATTCTGCTCTACAGAATATGGGCGCTCTGATTCTTTCTTTTAATGGCAGTGAGATAAACTGATTAGAGCTTTATTACCGTGGGTTTTTAAAATCTACTGGTCATTAAATAAGAATATATCACTCTTAAACTCGGTGTCTGGGAGCCGCGTGTGAGTCCCTGAGGGGGTTTGCCGCTGGCCCTGTGGGTATTGCCCCACGGGCTTGTTCTGTACCAGAGTTTGGGTGTCAGGTGCTGGATGGGGACTGTTGTGCAGAGAGGGTCCTTTGGGTTGTCCTGCATTTTCGGCACTCGTCTGAAATTGCACCTGTTAAATCTTTTGACGGGATAGATCATCACGAAGGTTACCCGATAAACTCCGTGGAAGGACAGTGCCCAGCAGCAGTGTTGGAGCTTTGCCTCGTTACCGGCACGATGGCACCGAGCCATCCTGTCGAATGGGCCGCAGGTTATTGCAAACAGGCTCGGATTTTGGCTTTGTAAAGTGAGACTTCTTGCTTTCCGGAGGAATTCTGGCCTAGCAGTAACCAGCCGTAGCTTTGGTAGTTTTTGGTTACCCAGCAGTGTCTATTTGGATGCTGGAAAATTAGAGCATCAATTCTTACACCGATCAGCTGCGTCATTTGTGTCACCTCCGTGACCTCTAACTGCTGTTGCTTCAAACAGTTGCTGTTAAACACAGTCGGTAACACCTTCATGTTCTAGGGGATCTTTTTCTCCTGCCATCTCAAATGAAAAATAAACAAAAGAGCTTAAGCATGCAAGGTGCTAAATAGACTAATAAGCTGTGAAAATATTTTACCGGGAAATCTGGGGCAAGAGCTGCCTGCTGAAGCAAGCCTATTAAGCTTGGCAGCAGAAAGGCTTTGGGAGGTGTTCTTTGGGAGAGAGAATTGAAAGATTTTTTCAAATGTATGTGTTCTTCTCTCCCCCCTTTCTGAGCAGTTTTAAGAAATCCCTCCTTAAATTGATTACCTCTCGGCGTCAGAGCCCTCGGCTTTAAGTACCCACTAAGCTGCTCCTGTGCTGATTTGACTGCCTTTCTGTTAAATGTAAAACAGTTTTTAATCTTCTCATTTAGATGTTTTAATAGAAAGTAAATGTTTAACTTGCTTTGCGGTGGCATCCAAGTCTTTAAT